ACATCACCCTCAATCTGAAGGAGTTCCAAATAGTTAGTCACAAGGGGCATCGTCCATAATTGAAAATTACTCAGTCCTCTCTATATTTCCACAATGGATGCTGGCTCAATCCGAAGGAGGTGCATGTTGTTAGTTATGAGGAGCATCGTCCATTGTTGGGCATGACTCAGTACTCGTATATTTTCACGATGGATAGTGGAGTGACGGATATCATCCTCAATCTAAAGGAGGCCCACATAGTTAGTCACAAAAGACATCGCCTATAGTTGGGAATTACTCAGTCCTCTCGATATTTCTACAATGGATAGTGGAATGGCGAATATCACCCTCAAACTGAAAGGGGTCCATTTTGTTAGTCACAAGGGTGTTACTGCTTCTAGACATTGTGCGCGATTGCACGTATGTGCATGGCTGATCATCCATTCTCCCGAATAAATTAAGACAGAGATCTTTACAACTTCTTCTAACTTGTGTTATCGACTAAGAGTCACAGCCAAGCAACACAAGGGGCATCGTCTATAGTTGGGAATGACCCGTCCTGCCTCTATTTTCACAATGGACGGTGGGGTGGCGAACATCACCCTCAATCTGAAGGAGTTCCAAATAGTTAGTCACAAGGGGCATCGTCCATAATTGAAAATTACTCAGTCCTCTCTATATTTCCACAATGGATGCTGGCTCAATCCGAAGGAGGTGCATGTTGTTAGTTATGAGGAGCATCGTCCATTGTTGGGCATGACTCAGTACTCCTATATTTTCACGATGGATAGTGGAGTGACAGATATCATCCTCAATCTAAAGGAGGCCCACATAGTTAGTCACAAAAGACATCGCCTATAGTTGGGAATTACTCAGTCCTCTCGATATTTCCACAATGGATAGTGGAATGGCGAATATCACCCTCAAACTGAAAGGGGTCCATTTTGTTAGTCACAAGGGTGTTACTGCTTCTAGACATTGTGCGCGATTGCACGTATGTGCATGGCTAATCATCCATTCTCCCGAATAAATTAAGACAGAGATCTTTACAACTTCTTCTAACTTGTGTTATCGACTAAGAGTCGCAGCCAAGCAACACAAGGGGCATCGTCTATAGTTGGGAATGACCCGTCCTGCCTCTATTTTCACAATGGACGGTGGGGTGGCGAACATCACCCTCAATCTGAAGGAGTTCCAAATAGTTAGTCACAAGGGGCATCGTCCATCATTGAAAATTACTCAGTCCTCTCTATATTTCCACAATGGATGCTGGCTCAATCCGAAGGAGGTGCATGTTGTTAGTTATGAGGAGCATCGTCCATTGTTGGGCATGACTCAGTACTCGTATATTTTCACGATGGATAGTGGAGTGACGGATATCATCCTCAATCTAAAGGAGGCCCACATAGTTAGTCACAAAAGACATCGCCTATAGTTGGGAATGACCCGTCCTGCCTCTATTTTCACAATGGACGGTGGGGTGGCGAACATCACCCTCAATCTGAAGGAGTTCCAAAGAGTTAGTCACAAGGGGCATCGTCCATCATTGGGAATTACTCAGTCCTCTCGATATTTCCACAATGGATGCTGGCTCAATCCGAAGGAGGTGCATGTTGTTAGTTATGAGGAGCATCGTCCATTGTTGGGAATGACTCAGTACTCCTATATTTTCACGATGGATAGTGGTGACGGATATCATCCTCAATCTAAAGGAGGCCCACATAGTTAGTCACAAAAGACATCGCCTATAGTTGGGAATTACTCAGTCCTCTCGATATTTCCACAATGGATAGTGGAATGGCGAATATCACCCTCAAACTGAAAGGGGTCCATTTTGTTAGTCACAAGGGTGTTACTGCTTCTAGACATTGTGCGCGATTGCACGTATGTGCATGGCTAATCATCCATTCTCCCGAATAAATTAAGACAGAGATCTTTACAACTTCTTCTAACTTGTGTTATCGACTAAGAGTCGCAGCCAAGCAACACAAGGGGCATCGTCTATAGTTGGGAATGACCCGTCCTGCCTCTATTTTCACAATGGACGGTGGGGTGGCGAACATCACCCTCAATCTGAAGGAGTTCCAAATAGTTAGTCACATAACAACGGTTATCGGCTCAGTCTTCTAGACGGCAGCGAGTCGAACGACAGAGGCAGGCGACGTGCGATCAGCTGCTGAGTGAGTTCGCTTGGCCAAATCATGAGATGCCAAGCGATGACCAGATAGTATCTATGGAGAAGACGAGCATAGCATGGTGTTGCGGGGGAATAGATGATCACTCACTTGCAGTTTATTGTTCTTCGCGACGGTGCGCGAAATCAGGCTGGTGGCATGCTGATTGTGCCAAACTCTGGGCTGATGCCACTTCGACCGAGGCTCCCGATCTGGAGGATGAGACCATACCTTGGTACTGCCCTAGATGCACATCACGTAAGGGTCGTAAACGTAAGAGGCGGGAAGAACACTTGAGGTAAGCGTAGAGAGCTGTTATTGACGCTTGAAGGATAGGTTCGATATCTGAATAGATACGATAGGGTGAGGATTTCTGAAGGATTAACGGCTGATGTCAAGCCCACTATCTACTCAATTTCGATGACTAAGTATAACTTACTGCATGTAGATCTTTCACATCAATTAGTTCCGGATTGTACTTCATCAGATGAAACGAGACTTTAGTTGAGAAACATAGATTGAACCCAATCGAATCAGAGATTCCAACTTTAAAATCACCATCGCGATAGCTCTACGAATGATTCGCCACAGAGCATGTAGCAAAAATTGTGACACCGCCCCCCCAACGCAACGAGGAAAACACGAAGCTAAAGCTAGTGGGAATTGTTTAGTGCTGGAACCGCGTCAGTACCATAATTCATGCTTCATGAACAATATCTATGAATCACGAACTATAATACAAATAACACAAATACGCCAGTGATACACCTATCATGAATTAGGTAAATTCTCACACGTGCTAGCACACGTTCAGCACGCCGATACATAGCTAAAATAAAACACGGCGTAGAGTCAAATTTCTCGAATGATGCATTGTCAACAAGTCATAGAAACACATGATATGCCTGATAAGTCATTGGTCAAAATTGAATAGTCCAGTTATCAAAGCTTGAGTATTAGCAACTTCTAAGAGGCTTCATAAATTTATGGAGTTCATGGCATGAACAGTCTGCGAAATAGATCGTAGTGGCGGGCGAGATTTGAATTCATCTTCCTTAAATCTCGGACGTGCCACTGTGGCTCAGCCACAATTAGTTTCCTAAACATTTCAACCTCTAAGAGGCAATGGCCCATTGCCAATGGGAGATCATTTTTGAGACGGTTATCTTGGAGAACTTGGTAAATCTTGCACTTCCTCAACAGCGCGTTTGGTGCACTTGGCAAAATCGAGGAAAACGGCCAACCCCGAAAACCCTCCGATTGCAAAGCGTGAAGCACTGAGGGCTTGCGGGGCGGCCGTAGGCCGCCCTCCGTACCAGTTACTGAGTGGATAAACTTTCGAGGTGATTGGTGCCGGTGAACCCTCTCACTGGTGCGGATGAGCCCCCTATGCTCGTCGTCGTCGTCGTCGTCCCGTGCTCCTGCTGTGGTGGAAGTATGTCATTATAAGTAGCAGCATCCACACGGGTGGTTGTTGTTGGTGATGATGGTCCTGACTTCTGAGGCTTCAGAGGTAGTCCAATATCCAGTGGATACTTCGAAATCGAAGTTCCTAAAGCTCTTTGTCGAACTTGGACTTCCTAAATCGACGCGCCAACGAGATTGAAGTTCCTAACCCGATATGTTGACTAAATTGAAGTTCCTAAACCGATATGTTGACTAAATTGAAGTTCCTAAACCGATATGTTGACTAAATTGAAGTTCCTAAACCGATATGTTGACTAAATTGAAGTTCCTAAACCGATATGTTGACTAAATTGAAGTTCCTAAACCGATATGTTGACTAAATTGAAGTTCCTAAACCGATATGTTGACTAAATTGAAGTTCCTAAACCGATATGTTGACTAAATTGAAGTTCCTAAACCGATATGTTGACTAAATTGAAGTTCCTAAACCGATATGTTGACGAAATTGAAGTTCCTAAACCGATATGTTGACTAAATTGAAGTTCCTAAACCGATATGTTGACTAAATTGAAGTTCCTAAACCGATATGTTGACGAGATTGAAGTTCCCTAAAATGCGCCCCGTCGAAATTGGAGTTTCAATGGACCCAATAGGGGCATGTTGGGGCACGAACTCGCTCGCCTGGTGAAATTGAAGTTTTTAATGTTGAAATAGAGGTTGAAAAGGTGTAGTATCTTCGTCGATTCTCTACTATCAAGTCACTGGCCTTATTACGGTCATGGAAGTCTTCTTGTCAGGATGTGCCGAGCGTAAGAGCCAATCAGTGCCCGAGGATAGTGACACTATCATAGTGTTCATGGGATAGTGCCTGAGGATAGGATACCTCCACCTGACGTGTATGGATGTGAACGAGACCTCCCTTCCATGCATTTCTAGCTCGGCCGCCCTACGGACATCACACCCGTCGTTGCCAACGATTCGTTGGCGTGCGCTGGTGACAGGCGACAGCACTCATAGCTAGCGTTAGCCTCTTGCATCCATCTTCAAACATGGACACTCAGTCCTCATCTGTAAGCGGCGCCCAATCGGCGTTCCCGCCTCATATGGTGGTTGCAACCAGTTAATGGAGGGTATGAGCTAAGCGACACGGCAAGCGTGATGTCATTGATAGTGTTCATTAGTGCTTGGCTGAGCATGATGACCTTTCAGTCGAGCCCTTTCCTTACTGAGACAACTACTCAGGTATTTACCCTTGGTTACTTTTGATGTCCACTTGTTTTCCTGTTGACGGAAGATGGCGCGAAGGAGATTCCATATCATTGATATGCCCATTCTGTTCACATGTTGCAATAAATTCCGTCTTTAGTTGTTACAGCCCATGATGTTATCCATCTTAAGCTCGTTACGGTAGGATGTGGTTATATATCATCCTTGTTGGACTAGAGAATATGATACTCGTGTGTAGCTTACATGTATGGATAAATCATCATCCAAGGGGCACTTGAGCTATATTCCTTATTCCTGGCTGGTCTCAAGACTAATCAATGAAGAGCCCTTTAACAACCAGTGACTTGGAACTGCACACGTTGGACATCGACACCTCAATATTATCCGATAAACATTAATCAGTGCGATGAGAGATGAATGGTAAGAATTCTCTACATGAAGTTTCAGTAGCAGAACTGGTAATACTGGTATCATCATTTCTATTCATTGGGTATCAGTGCGATGAGAGATGAATGGTAAGAGTTCTCTACACGAGACTTCAGTAGCAGAACTGGTATTACTGGTATCATCATTCAAAACTAACTTTTATCATTATCACCCAGAACTATGTGAGGCAGTAATTTGGACACGATCACTGAGACTTGGTGAAGTGCCAATAATAATGACCACCTGATTTGGTCTACCAGTCATGTCTTAGACACCCAAACATGTACGCCAGAGAGTCCCTTTTTGACTGGATTGATACTATTCAACCGATGTGTCAATCAGTGCGATGAGAGATGAATGGTAAGAGTTCTCTACATGGGATTTCAGTAGCAGAACTGGTAATACTGGTATCATCATTTCTATTCATTGCGTATCAGTGCGATGAGAGATGAATGGTAAGAGTTCTCTACATGAGATTTCAGTAGCAGAACTGGTAATACTGGTATCATCATTCACGTATACTTATTTGTGCGACACTCAATTTACGCAGCCACTCACATAAGAGTGAGCACGCAATCTCGTATCCTACATTCTAGCGATCCGAAAGAAGACTGATATCAATCATAGTGATATCGCCTGTGACACATCGCTGATTAACATCTTACCCCAATGGTATAACACGACATGAAACTGAATGAAAATAATGAGGAATGATGTATTCCACAGGTAAAAACTAATACGAGTGCGGTGCAGCCTTAGCTAGCAACGAACGCGTATAACTGACGATCACCCACAGGGACATGCCAACAAATATTACTATGAAGCATGCTAAATCCATCAGTTCATACAAGGCGTATGATGAACGAAATACCAACCCGAACTCCCGAGAAGACCCCTCTTGCATTCGTTGGTCTTAGTAGACTCAATAAGAGTCTTCTGAATAGCCGAAGCCTTACCCCACAATACCAAATGACCGGTACCAGGAGTAGACTTGGCCCCCAACACGAAGCAGGCATCATTAGGACCGAGAGAAGTAGCGAACATACCGGCACCCCATGGCCACCAAGTGTCACGAAGAGACTTCTTACCAAAGATACCACAACAACCACCTGGAGCCCAAGCACCCTTCTCAAGATGGTCAATAACACGAATGTTATGGACAGCATGCTGAGCTTGCTCTTCGCTGGGATATGAGATCTTGGGTATCGGGGGAAGACCAGGAACCATGTTGCAATCACCAACGGCAAAGATGTGACCTCCACCGAATAGCGATTCAGAACCATCATCGTTCAGTTGCGTGACTTGTAGGTTATTGTTGACACGAATCCATCCACCACCGCCAGGACCACGCTTCTTAACATCTTTCTCTTTCTTGTCAGCCTCTAGAGGATTATAACCAGTAAGAGTCTCCTTGGGCATGAAGTAGTTAGATGCCTTGACGCCGATACAAACGAATGTGCAGTCCGGCTTACCGTTCATACCTATCTTACTGAAGAATTCCGGATCATCAGGAGCATACTTGATACCGTAGGTAGCCTTAATGCCTTTCTTCTTCATATAGTGGTCACAGTAGTCAGCAGCAGACTTAGGCAGTGGACCAAGGCACTTGGGTAAGAAATCGATAATATGTAACTTGAGATTGGGGAAGTAGTGCTGGAGCTCAGTGACCCACTCGACCCCAATGAAACCAGCGCCAACGACAAGGACAGAAGCTTTCTTCTTGTTCAGAGCCTTCAGCTTCTCATGCTCTTCGAATATGTGTCTACGACGCCCCTCGATGAACCTCTCATCGATATGAGGCCAAGACCCCTCAGGTCGAGCATCCTCGTGAACGGTCGGGAACCAGAGACTCTCACCCCACTTGTGGAAGACACCAAAGTTACAACCAGCTGCAATAATGCAGTAATCAAAGGGGACCTCTTCAGTGGTCTCAGAGAACATAGGCTTTACATGAGCTACCAAACGGCTACCATCCAACTGTTTCACTTCACCCCATAGGAACTTGATACCCATCTTGCGCTCGAGCACATGCTGGTAGGTGAACGACAGAGCATCGTAATGACCGGGATGGACAAATGCACGGAGAACACCTGGAGTGTACTCGAAATACTCCTTGGCATCGACCAAAGTGACATCGAAGTGGCCAGAAAGGTCATGAGCCGCGAATAAACCAGAGAATCCACCACCAATAACAAGAGCTCGACGCTTGTGACCGCCTGACATGATGAAGATGGAAGAGCGGATGAGAAGACGTTGACAATGAAGTCAAGTGCACTGAACGAAAACACTTGATCGATTTCATAGCGATTGGCGGAGCGAAACGATTCATGTCTCACAAAAATTGATGGGGGAGCAAGATGCACGGAAAATAAGAAGCCTCTCCATGTCCCTTTAGTGAAGCGTGCCTAGAGAGTTTCTTTTTTTAACCTTGAGATTTGCTACTAATAAGATGTTAGTGATAGAGACACTTAGTTATTTGTAGCCATGTCCTCTGACAACTATAACGAATATATAGACAAGGGAATTCATCTATTTAGGAAGGGTGTGAAGGAGGCTAAGAAATTAGGGAAGAAAGCCAATAAGGAGATTAAGAAGGTGGTGGTGAATACACTGATAGTAGTACTAATGATTGTTGATGTAGGCAGCAGGATTACCTACTGGGCCATGTACAGAAACGAATCCTCGTTACTATATAGTAGTAGCTAGGCAAGGGGCTATGGTTAGAAAGGGTATTGAGATGGATAGTGAACAGGTATTAAACATAATAAAGCTGTTTATCGATAGTAGTAGTAGGTACATGGTCTGCGTAGAGCAGACATATGTACTGTTGTTAAGATAAGTGGTAGAAGGGCTAAGATAGTTGAACCTGTTGGTGAGTATCATAATATTTGTAGCATAACTGGTTATTATCATTATTATCAGTGGGCTGGATATCTCTTTATACTGCTGATGGTGAGGTTATAATGAGGCAAACACTTCCACCAGATAGACGTGAACAGAATATGCATCTTGATCGGTAATCCATTATAGAGTACTTTGCCAATTACTTATGTTCTTAGTCGTTTTGAGCAAGTAAAGAGAGAACAAGAGAGGGTAGGAGGATATAAAGAGGCCGTTAAGATAGCGAATGACCATGCAACAGCTGCAATGGGTGAAGGTACTGTTGATAGTACTGCGGGAAGCTCAGCAGCAGCAGCAGCTGAACGCTTCTATCAACGAGACAGTAATACTCATTGAGACTGCTGCTGCTGCCATCGGTGGTGGTGATGTCCACCCTCTTCATCAGATGCCGCTGGTGGTACCGCTGCTCACTTTGGTTATGCGAATAGGAGGGATTCGGCTCAAGAGGACAGTGCTGTGGCTACAGGTAATTATGATAACGGGGATTATTATAACACATTATTGAGCCTCAGCCGCTAGTTTGAGTACAGTCTCTGTACGTATGAAGTCCGAAGGTATAACCCAGGCGGGGGCGGCGGCCACCAGTAGTAATAGTACTGGGAATGCCATACCTAAGCTTGTAGTATCGACGACATACCCGATCACATCTTCTTGTGGTCTTCTAGGCTGCCCCTGGTACTCTACCAAAGTTGCCACCTCCTCCTTCTAGACGACAACAACAACAAGAACAGCGTTATGATTCTTCTACTGCTCCTACTCAGTCGCAACAGAGGAGTATGGATCTCTTGGGTTTCGATGATGATGATGATGATACGCAGCAGCAACAACAGCCCGACTCTACTAGTATTACGATACAGGGACATGCAGGTATGAGGTTATGGAACTAGGTTGTTGGTAATCGTGTAAAATGTCAGATGGTAATGTGGTCCAAGCATCGAATCCTTGGGGTCTCGATGAACCCAATAACAGCCAGTCTACGGTATTACCAGGATTAGATATTGTAATAGTGTCTACATATAGCAATATCATTATTATGCTATAGTTTTCTACAACACATCAGCCACCAAGCAGTGGTCCTCAAGTAAAGCCGATTAATGATCATAAACCAAGCAACCCTTTTGCGGCATTACAAGGCCTTGGCTTCCCATCAAACACTGCGACACAACAACAATACTCTCCATCTATTCCATCATCAACAACAACACAATACTATCATCAACAACCGGTGGCCAATGGACAGCAGCAAGCAATGGTAGTAAAGTTCATAAGCCCCCTCCCTTCACTTGCATCCTTTACTCTGCTGCAGAGATCCTCTTCGGTTCCTCCTGTCTCGAGCAACGATAACAAGAAGCCTGTTGTTGCTGACCCTTTCGCTGATCTCATATAGATCTCGTCGTCAAGCTGCTGCTCACTCTAGTAGTAGTAGTATACCCTTACTACGCGGTTATATTATTCTTTCATCAATCTTAGTATTGTGTTGTTGTTGATATTGATTAGTCATGCTTCTCTATGAGTATGAGTTCTACACTTGGTAATGACCTATCATGGATATTCTTATCACTCATACTCTTCTTCAATCTAATTAACTTTATACTATACTTAGTGGATAAAAAGAAAGCTCAGGGTGAGCATTGGCGGATAACAGAGGCAACTCTTCTTGGTAAAGGTGTGGTATACCTCTAGAGAGATGCTATACCACTGTTCAGGATTCGGTATCATTGCACCTTTTGGCGGGCTTCTTGGAATGTTCTTAATACGCCATAAAACGAAACATTGGTATTTCTGGTTGGATAATATAGTATTTGCAATACTATGGATTATCATGGGTATAGCCCTTGTATCCTCCTACGACTGGTGTGCCAGTGGAGGGTCCAACAACTCAACGGTATTACTCATGGACGTGGATCAGAGTTCATTATAGCCTTTCTAGGTACCCTGCATAGTAACAGCATGTTTGATAGCAGTAGCAGGATTGGTTACAGTCTACTGTGTTGGTGGCGAAATTAGGTATGCTTGCAAGCGTAGACGATGAATACTTACATCTTCTATTACAATTCCCAACATTACCAATCTATTACTATCCCTCACTTCTAGGTTTTGGGTTTCACTTACCTTTGGGATTCGATCTAATCAACCTCTAATAATGATGAGGCTTACAGGATTCAAGATATTCCTACATGATTGAACCTCGTTCTTTGACATGTAACCAACCTCCTACCAAGGACTCCGCTTACCTTGAGCACTGCCCATGGTTGGGGACCACTATGTTGAGCACATATACCTAGGGTAGTACCATAGGAGCATGCAGAGTCTATTACACAACACCATACTACCTGTTTAAAGCCACAATAGAGTTATTGCCTTTAGGAAGATGCCGTCATGTGTAGTATGCAGGTTACGAGGCAGCGCTTCCCTGCGGTCAAGATCCCTACGGGTGGTGTATCATCGTTCCCGTCGGGGCTAATGTCGTCTACCCACTCCTGGATATCTCTTTCATGATCATCATTCTCTGGTGCTACTACTACTACTACTACCAACTATTCTACCATGCATGCTTCGTCCATGACCACGTCTGCCCAGTATTGTTAGCAATAAGCCTACTACTGCTACCCTCCAGAGGAACGGTATTGGTCTGATGCAGGAGGGATGGGCTTCCTCCACTGCGAATGGTGTATGTTGCTATTGGTGGGGCGGCACTTGTCTTCACCCTCTATCACATTATAGAGGCTTGATATATCTCAACTAACGTTGATACCCTCGAGAGATGAGAATGCCCAAGCTATCACAGAGAGGATGTAGGCTGCTTATGACAATGCCTACATCTGTTAATAGGCTACACGATATCCACTAATAAGTTCACCTAACCAAAATGTGGCGATTAGAGGATGGGTTGAGTCTGAGGACGATCAGAGGTCGCCGGATTTTATTGATACACACTTGGCTTAATGAACTTACAGAAGAAGTACCCTTGGAATACTATCAGATGAGG